AAGTTACTGGACAGAAGTAACACCTGGTTGCTGTAATGCTAAACACTACAACACTGATACGTCAAATGTGATAATGGTTATCAATGGTGGAAAGTGTTTGGTCATGCTACCAGATTAAAACAGTCCTGGAAGCAGGAGTGGCAGCCACTTCTGAAATAGCTTGCCTCCAGAAACTCTATGAATATAGAGAAATGATGAAAGTTATACCAGTATTCAGGTCTTTTGTTCATAAGGTCACTATGACTTGATGACACTTAACAACAACAATGGCATTTATATATGATACAGTGTATGTAACTATATAAAACAATGTAAATGGGGGAAGGAATATACAGGATCACTGTATATTCTGAAAAGAATCAGTTAATACTAAAATATTTCAAAAAGTGTCATATGATCAAGAGCCAATGGTAATAAAGGAAAAAGTTCAAGCTGCATTGAAGGCATTGGCAAAAAATAAGGCCCCAGGAATTGATGGAATACCAAATGATGTGTTTCAAATGACAGATACAGCCCTGGATGTGTTCACTATTCCACACCAAGATTTTGGAGGACAGTTACCTGGCTGACTGAAAGAGATCCATATTTGTTCCCACTTCAAAGAAGGGTGATAAATGAATTATTGTATGAAAATTAATTTTTAAAAAGGAAAAAAATTAAAGAAATAAAAGAAATGTTGTACTGGGAAAAATTTACAACAGTATCTTTCCAAAGTAATAAAGGTCTAGATTCATCTGAAAAAATATTACAAATGCTGTATAAGACCACTGTTTTTTAAAAAACAAACAAAAATAACTCTAAAAGGTTTACATGTGGAGAGAATCAATCTAGTATGGATATGGTGGGAGGGAGCTGAAAATGAGTTGACACTCAATGAACATCTCCCCGGAATAGGTGAAGGAAAACAAAATGTAGAATGAATGGATGATCAGACATTCATAGGTGTTATAATAAATAACAAGCAACGGGAATGAAAGGAGAGAGAGGGTAAAGGGAAAGGCAATGTACAATGAGAGGGGAATGATAACATGGTAACAAAAGTGTATTAATTAAATGAATTCATTATATAAAAGAAAATGTGTGTGAATAAAAGAGAAAAAAAACTGTTCATATATTATCATACTTACTGAAGGGTAACATATTTTAAATCCAATTCTTTTTAAAAAATTATTATATTGTTTTGCTTACAAAGTTTGTATACACTGTGTTTCACATTATTCTTCATTTACATTGTGTTTCAACCATTCCCATTCATTATATTTTATAAAATTAATCACCATTGGACTATGCCCATCATTATCCTGTCCAAGTTCATACTTTTAAATATATATAAACCATGACAACCTCTTCTTCTGAAAACAAAGTTGTAAAAACCTTTTTCAGTTGAGTAGAAAATCTGAGGTTATTAATTGATGTTGAGTCAATTCCAACTCGTGGATGTGTATGGAATAGAACTGCTCCAAAGGGCTTTCAAAGCTGTGACCTTTCAGCCTGATTTCAAGGTGAGCTGCCAACTTTTTGCCTGTTAGTGCTGGACCACTCAGCTGTCTTCACTTTGACATTATATCAATTAATATAAGAATGGAAAATTCAAATCAGTGAGACCTATTCATATATTATTTTCTATAGTATCTTCTTTATGGAGTTCAAAACACATCAGAGAAGTAAATAAAATTACTTCTATAGCAATCTTGAACAATAATTTTGAGAAAGACAAAACCCTTCCTTTTAGAATCTGACCCTTTATAAATCAATTCTAAAACCCTGGACTTTGACCTCACTGAATGAGCATTTCCCCCTAGTGATAGTTTTTCAAAGACAGTATTTTATTTTTTTTTAAATTTTATATTGGTGTTCATACAAAATCTGTATACATTGTTTCACACTATCCTTCATTCACATTGTGGATACAATCATTCCCATTCAATGTATTTTAGAAAATGAATCACCACTGGACTATACTTACCATTACCCTGTCTTTCGAGTTCCCTGATGGATCATTTCCTTTACCCACTTCCCTCCACACACTAAATTGTGTAATCCTGTGATTCCTGCTGTTCTGCACCCCTCATCCTGGCCAGTATCACCCCCTGCTTTCCCCATTTCCCACTTGTATCTCCATATATGTTTTACTAGTTATCCTATTTCTACAATAATGATCTTAGGCAGTACTTGTCCTTATGAGACTGAAGTAATGCAGTAGTTTTCAAAATCATTACCCCTGAGCTACATCATATTCTATTGTATGAATGTACCATAAGTCCTCAATCCATTTGATTTTGGTTGTCTCCACGTTCTTGTGATTGTGACTAATGCTCCTATGAACATTGGTGTGCAAATCTCCATTTGTGTCTTAGTTCTAATTCCTAGCAGTGGAATAGCTGAGTCATATGGAATTTCTATGTTCAGCTTTTTGAGGAAATACCAAATTGCCTTCCAGAGTGGCTGCACCATTTTACAATCCCACCAACAGTGTATGAGAGTTCTATCTCTCCATAGTCTCTCCAACATTTATTGCTTGCTGCCCTATTAAACTTTACCACTGCTACGGGGTGATATCTCTTTGTGATTTTGATTTGCATCTCTCTTACTGCCAATGAGTTTGAGCATTTCTTCATGTGTCTGTTGGTCATCTGAATGTCTTCCTCTATGAAAAGTCTTTCCAAGTCTTTTGCCCATTTTATAATTGGGTTATCAGTCTTTTTCTGTGGAGGCCCAGGAGTATTTTTTAACTTTTTGTTATGAGACCCTTGTCTGAGATGGTATTGCCAAATGTTTTTTTCCCCAGTCTGTAGGTTTTCTTTTCACCTTGCTAGAAAAAAAGTTTTGAAATACACAGGGATTTAATCTTCTGAAGGTCCCATTAATAAATTTTATTTTCTCCTGCTTGTATATTTCTGGCTGTATTTGTCAGCCTCTTTATACCATAGACAAGGCCTTCACAGCTTGATCCCACTTTGTCTCTTATAATTTTTATGGTTTTGGCTTTACCCCTAGGTCTCTGATCCACTTTGAGTTGATTTTTGTTTATGGTGTGAGATGTGAATCCTGTTTTAATTTTCTTCAGGTTGCAGTTCAGTTTTGCCAGCACCATTTATTAAAGAGGTTATTGTTTCTCCATTTGATAAGTTTTGTTTCCTTGTTGAATATCAGTTGACCATAAATAGATGGGTTAACTGCTGGGTTCTCGATTCTGTTCCATTGGTCTATATGCCAAGATGGTCACTTTTTAATCGTCATAAATCCTTTCCTTTCATTTTGTAAACTCCAGTTGAAAAAACAAAAGAATGCAAAAATTTTAGTGAAAATTTTCACTTTAAGAAATCCAAGTGTTTTTTATAAATAATGAAATTAATAGTTGTTGCTGTTATGTGCCGGCAAGTTGCTCGCGACTCATAGTGAGTGACCCTATGGACAACAGCCCTGAAACCTGCTCTATCCTGTGCCAACTTTACTGTCTTCGACACACCTACCCTCATTACTCCAGTCACAGAATCAATCCATCTCATTGATGGTCTCCCTCTCCTTCTCTGTCCCTCCACTCTTCCAAGCATGATGTCCCTCTCCAAGGACCGGTCCCTTCTTGCAACATGCCCAAAGTATATCAGACAAACACTCAGAGTCCTTGCCTGCAAGGAGCAAGCTGGATTTACCCTCTCTAGGACAAACTTGTTTGTTCTCCTGACAGTCCATGATATATATATAAAACTCTTCTCCAATACCACAGCTCAAAGGCAACAATTCTCTTTCTATCATCCTAGTCATTGTCCAACTCTCTGACACATAGCAAGCAATTGCAAACATTATGGCCTGGATCAGGCATGTCTTAGTCTCCAGACGGATATCCTTGCTCTGCAATACTCTGGAGAGGTCCCTGACAGCCAACTTTTCCAACGCAATTTCTTATTTCCATCTCTTGATTTCCTGGCTGCTGGTATCAAGAGGATTGTGGAGCCAAGCAAACTAAAGCTGTTAACAATCTCAATCTCTTTACCATCTATCATAATGCTGCCAATCAGCCCAGTGGTGAAAAAAATCTTTGTTTTCTTGATGTTGAGCTTCAATCCATATTGAAAGAGCAGCAAGAGCTTCAGTTTCTCCTTAGTTGCAGCAAACAGGGTTGTGTCGTCTACATAACGCAGGTTGGTGATGAGTCTTCCTCCAATCATGATGCCACATTCCTCTCATAGAGCACAGCCTCCCAGATGATTTGTTCTGCATATAGATTTAAAAGGTATGGAGACAGACTACATCCCTGGAGTACATCCTGCCTGATTTTGAACCATGCAGTGTCTTCTTGCTCAGTTCTGATGACTGCCTCCTGGTCTAAGTATAGGTTTCATGTAAGTACAATCAAATGTTCTGGGATTCCCATTTTTCTCAGAGTCAGCCATCTATACCAATTTAGCAAAAGCTTTAAAGTAGATATACTAATAGATCTCTAGTTTATACAAACATCTTCTTTGAAAAGACTTACATATCCTGTGTACTTGTAATCTATTTATTTCTAGACTGTACTTTGTTACTGTACCTTGGCTACAAACAGAAATATAAGACACATAGGAAATATTGTCAATGCATGCCTCATTAAAAGAGCAGTATTTCAATTGCTTTCTAAGCCCAGGTTTCTGCAAGGTCACACAAAAGAAATGGCTTTTAGACATATTTTTCCATTCTCCTACTAAGTCTGGACAATAGCAAAGTAATATATCTATATTATCTTAGAGTTTTATGTATGTCAAGGAGCCCTGGTGGCTTAGTGTCTAATGTATTTATTTGGCTTTTAATGAAAAAGCAGACAGTTTGAAGCTATCAGTCCCTCTAGTGGAGAATTTCTTGCAGCCTTAGAACCCTAAAGGAGGAGTCAGAACAGTGGTGGATTTAAGTTTCTGTAGGTTTTCATGTCTGTCTTCCTTTCTTGTGTGCCAAACACTTTGTGACTGCTGCAAACAAAGATCAATGAAAGCACTGAAAGATTCTGTAAGGGCTCTACTGCTCACCTGAGCTCTTTCTGGAGGTGGGAGACGACATCCATATATAGGTGGGACAGGAGAGCCACATTCTTGACAGAAGTGAGCAAAGGGGTCAGATGGCCGGGGGGCCAGGCAGCAAGGACACCTACAACAAAACACAATCTTGACTGGTCATGTTCTGAAGTTTCCAAAGCAAGACTAGAGAAAACCTAACCATGTTCAAACAGTTGGGTTTTTCTTTCTTTGTTTTCTTTTCCCCACTATCCCTCTATAGTTCCCAGCTATTGCTCCATCCTGTACTCTCCCAGCATCTGAGCCTTCCCTTTAGACAAATGCTCACCATGATCTAAGTGTCTGTCCCTGTACGATGCTACCTTGATTACTATGGCTATGGATTCGAGATCAGGGAGTGGGATGCCTCCTACCCTGTTTTTGTTTTTCAGTAGTGTTTTGATTATCTGGGGTCTCTTTCCATTCCAGACAAAACTGGAAACTGTCTTTTTCCATCTTGTTTAAGAATGGAATTGGTTTCTGTATTGGGATTGCAGTGAACCTGTAAGTTGCTTTTGTTAGCATTGTCATTGTCCCAATATTGAGCCTTTCTATACAAGAACGTGGTATATCCTTTAGTTTCTCAAAGTCTCTCTTTGGCTTTTTTTGCAGTTTTCTTTGTATAGGTGTTTTATGTCCCTTAGATTTGTTCCTAAGTATTTGATCCTGTGGTTGGCTATTGTAATTGATATTGTTTTCATTATTTCCTTTTAAATGTTCTCTTTATTACTGTAGAGAAATCAAATTGGTTTTTTATGTTGACCTTGTATCTTGCTACTTTGTTGGTCAACTGCATTCAACAGCTTTTTTGCTGAAATTTTAGGTTTTTCTAAATATAGTATCATATCATCTGCATACAGAGATAGTTTTATCTTTTTTTTGCCAATTTGGATGTTCTTCTTTCCTTCTCACCTTACTTCTCTCATTAAGACTTTCAACACAATATTGAATAGGAGTGGTGATAGGGAGCATTTTTGTCTACTTCCTGTTCTCAAGGGGAATACCTTTAATCTCTCTCCACTGAGAATAATATTGGCTCTTGGTTTTGCATACATACTTTCATCATATTGAGGAGATTCCCTTCTATTCCTATTCTGTTGAGTGTTTTAATCAGGAAGAGGTGTTGGATTTTGTCAAAGGCTTTTCTGCATCAATTAACAGGATTATGCCATTCTTGTTCTTTGCTTTATTAATGCATTAATTACATTAATTGTGTTTCTTACGTAGGGTCGCTATGAGTCATAGGCGACTCAATGGCACATAACAACAACAACAACACACTGAACCATCCTTGCATTCCTGTTATAAATCCTATTTGGTCATGATGAATTTTATATATATATACTGTTGGCTTCTAAAGAAAGTCATTCCCACAGAGATCCACAGAAAAATGGATGGATCAAAGTAACCAGGAACAACACAAAAAAGAAACCAACAACATAATGGCAATAAAACTTGCTATCAACAAAACAGCAATAAAAATTACAGCTTCTCAATAATTACATTGGATATGTATAGTTTAAGCACAGTGAAAAGCAAAAAAAAGTAGTGGGTTGCATTAACACCCCAAATCCATCAATATGCTGTCTACAAGAGACACACTTGAAAAGCAAAGTAAAGACACTAAAAATCAAAGGGCAGAAAAAAAGTATACCAAGAAAATGGGGGGGAAAAGCAGTGATAGCAATATTAATTCCTGATAAAATGGATGTTAGGGTAATACAAACCATCATAAAGGACAAGGAAGGACACAATATAATGATTTAAGGGTCAGTAGAATGAGAAGATATAACTATAATAACTATCTGTGCACCAAATAATAGAGCTATAAAATGCTGACAGAACTGAAAAAGAAATAGGTAACACCATGATAGTAGTGGAAGACTCCAATACACCACTCTCAAGGAAAGACAAGATGACCAGAAAGGAACTCAAAAAATATTTGAAAAATTCAACTATAACATTAACCAACTTTATCTCATAGTTATATACAGGCTACTACACCCTAAACACAACCCTTCAGTATATCTTCTTCTCCAGAACACAAGGAATATTCTCAATAACAGATCATACTCTAGGTCCCAAAGCAAGCCTCAATAAATGAAAATAACACAAAGCATTTTCTTAGACCACAATGATATAAAATTAAAAATTAGTAAGCAGAGGGAAAACAGCCCAACCATGCACCTGGAAGCTAAACAACACCCTGCTTGAGCATGAGAGGGTAATAAAAGAAATAATACAAAAATTTCTTGAAACAAATAAGAATAAAAATACAATTTACCAAAATCTCTAAATTACAGTAAAAGTGGTACTTAGAGGTCAATTCATAGCAATAAGCAAACACATCAAAAGGGAAGAATTAAAATTGACTGTTTAATTCAACATCACCAACAAACAGAAAAAGAACAAGAAGAAAACACAACCACCTCTAAAAGAAAGGAAATAATAAAAATAAGGGCAGAGATCTCATGAGAGCTCCCTCCCCCAGCTAATGGAGTGCAAGGATGAGAAAGAAGAAGGATGTGCCTGGCAAAACACAGCAGAACACATTATCCCCTTTTACTCTGTTGCATTAATCTTGGCATTAGCCAGTCTTCTGCTTCTTTGCTGTCAGTATATTGGTGTGTCTGCTTAACACAATAAAATGGAAACGGAACAGCCCGAGGAAATCTTCCCAGTACTGAAACCATTAGTGGATCATGGACCTAGGACTAAAACCAAGGACTATAAACTTCATTAAAGAAATGCTTAAAAGAACTGTAGAAGTCCTAATCCACAACATAAACTGTCTTCCAAGCATCCTGAAAAATCTACAAGGATAAAATAGATGAACGGGACCTTATAAGAATCAAATCCCTATGCACATTCAAAACCTTCTCCAACAGGGCAAAAAGGGAAGCCAAAGACTGGGAAAAAAATATTTGGTAATGACATGTCAGACAAGGGACTTATATCTAGAATTTATAAAATACTCGAGCACCACAACAAGATAAATAAGCCAATTGAAAAATGGGCACAGGATATGAACAGACACTTCACCAAAGACAGATGGCTAACAAGCACATGAAGAAATGTTCAAAATTCCTAGCTCTAAGGGAGATGTAAATTAAAACAACTATGAGATATCATCTCACCCCAGTGACAGAACACCCCAGAACAGCAAAATTTAACAGACTAGCAAACATCAAATGCTGACGAGGTTGTGGAGAAACTGGAACCCTTATTCACTGTTGGCAGGAGTGTAAAATGGTGCAACCACTATGGAAGGCTGTATGGTGCTTTCTCAGAAAGTTGCAAATAGAAATACCATTTGACCCAGCAATTCCACTACTGGGAATATATCCTTAAGAAACCAGAACTGCCACCCAAGGAGAGAGATGCACACCAATGTTTATTGTGGCTTTGTTCACAATAGCAAAGAGGTGGAAACAACCCAAGTGCCCATCAACAAACAAATGGATAGAGAAGCTGTGGCTTACTCACACAATGGAATAATATGCTACATTGAAAAACAAAGAACTCATGAAATATTTCACGAAATGGGTGAAATAATGTCCTGAAGGACCTTAAGCCGAGTGAAATATCTCAGTCACAAAAGGACAAACATTGCTAGGGCCACTGTTGTAAAATGGGACTGACATCAGGGTTGAGGGAAGACTGAGAAAAAGGGGATAATGTATACTGCATTGAAACAGATGAGGGAGAGAACTGTTTAAAAGGGATACATTATTAGGTATTACTGTCATGACAGGACAGTCCAGAATGAAGGCTGCACAATGGAGTGGGCTTGAGGGGAGGGATTGTATAATAATAAAGGAATTTTTCTTTTACTTTTCAAAGAGACGAGTGAATTGTGGGGGAAGGGGTGGACAGGGAGAAAAGTGCAATAATGAATGAATGGAAACCCCAAGTCTCTGTAAACTTTCATTAAAATTAAAAAAATGAAGTAGTAGTAAAGAGAATGCAACACTTACTGGAGAAAATCTGTCTGTCTTTGAATTCTCATGATCTCTGTGCTTGTCAAACTCTTCAGGCCAGTTGCATGTGCAAAACTAGAGAACTGAAATTAAGAATGTATATGTATTATGTGTGTATAAACATGTATGTTACATATATTAAAAGACAAATATAACATAAAAAAGGAGAGTGTATGGTAAAATTTCACGAAAATTATTACAATGGTTGTCTTATATCTAGTATTCATTTGGAACTCTGAAGGGGAAGGTAATCAATATTACTACAGAAGCCCAATATTTTAAAAATTTCTTAAGGTGATATCATAATTACATATACATTTTTTAAATAAGAGTCCCTGAGTGGCACAAATTGTTAAGTACTTGACTACTTACCAAAAGCTTGCTGGTGTAAACATCCAGGCACCTTAGAAGATATGCCTGGCACTCTGCTTTTGAAGTATTACAGCCTTAAGTGCTGTCTATATGTGTTATGTGCCAAAGAATCAGAGCTGACTCAAAGCTGACCCTCCAGCAAATTTAGAGGCTATAAATCACACAGAAGACTGCTCACCTTTTCCCCACAAAGCAGCTCCATTTGAGGTGGCCACAGTTTCTTATCACATGGCAACTAGAGCTCCCTAAAGTCTTAATTGTTGTGTGTCACTGAGTTGGAATCAACTCAGCTGACCCTTTGGCTGGCTTTCAGAGGCAGCAAATCACATAGGAGAAGATTTAGGGCTCCTAAATTTGTCCCAATTTTAAATGTGATCATCCTTATAGTTTTAGGCCTTATAGTTAGGCCTGATTCATTTGGAGTTAGTTTGGGAGGTGTGAGTCTTATTTCAATCTTCAGCAAACAGATGCCCAGTACTGTCAGTACCATCTGTTAAAAGAGGCTACTTAATGGATGTCATCTCTTTGTCAAAGTTAAGCTGTCTATGTGTGGATGGGTTTATTTCTGGTTTCTCAGTTCTCTTCTACTGGTCTATGCACCTGTGGCTGTCCCATGAACAAAGTTTTGATCACCTGTGTATCAGGTGTGGAGGTCATGAAGTGCGAAGTCTCCTACTTTGTCTTCAGCATTGCTTCACTTATAGCTTTTCCATAGAAAGGTGGTGATTAATTTTTCCATCAATCTGAAAAATGATGACAGTATCTGGATTGGGATTTAATAAATCCAATAAATTGAGTGAACTGCTTTTGGTAGTATTGTAATTTTTAAGTCCTAACCCTTCCAATCCATGAACATGATATATATGCCATATCTGGGCTTCTAGTAGTAGTGTGGTTTCCCCCCCCCTTTTACTAGTGTTTTGTAGGTTTCTTTTTGTATAAGTCTTTGGTAGTTTTTCTTAGATTTATTCACAAATATTTACTCTTTTGGGTGGCTATTGTAAACAAATGTTTTCCACAACATGGATGAATCTAGAAGAAATTATGCTGGGTGGCATAAATAAGTTAGCCATCAAAGGACAATTATGGTATAAGATCAGTATCATAAAAAATTAAGAAAGGTACACATACATACAAAATCAGTCCTGGAGAGTGATGGAAAGCATGGGAAAGAGGAATGAAAATGAAATTTTAAAAATTAAATGTTGTTATTGTTTTTATGGGCTATTGAGTTGTCTGCGACTCATAATGACCTTAAGTACAACAGCCCTAAACCCTGCTCTATCCTGTGCCAATCTCTGACACACTTACCCCCATTACCCCAGTCACTGAATCTCCTTCTATCATCCCTAGCCATTGTCCAGCTCTCTGATGTATAGCAAGTGATTACAAAGACCATGGACTGTATCAGGCGCACCTAAGTCTCTAGAGTGACATCACAGCCTTGAAAGCTCTATGGATTAGGTTTACTCTGTACCTGTGGGGCTCCTATATATCAAACTCTGGGCTCTGAACCACTGTGAAAACTAGTTCACTCTTGGTCCAGCTCAAGGTTTACTCTGCACCCACAAGGTTATTATTCATCAGATTCAGGGCTTTGAACCAGTCTAGAAACTAGTTCACTCTTGGTCCAGCCTATGTGTTTCATAGCAGTCAAATCTCCTGAGATACTTGGACCAAGTATGAGCCACAGGAGGAAGAGGTGAGAAAGCTGACTGAAGGAAGAACATAAAGGGAAGGAGCTACCACAGAGTCACTGAGGATTGATTAACACAGAAACATTTCAGGAAGTATCAAGAACCAACGATAATGAAGGAAGAATTTCAGCCTGCACTGAAGAACTGGCATAAAGAAAAAAAAAAACCAAGCCTCCAATGGAATATCATTTAAGGTGTTTCAGCAAACCAATGCAACTCTGGACGTGCTAAGTGGACTCTGTCAGGAAATTTGGAAAACAGTTACCTGATCAAGCAATTGAAAGAGATCTATGTCTACGCCCATGGTCAAGCAATTGAAAGAGATCTATGTCTATGCCCATTCAAAAGAAATGTGATCCAACAGAATTTTGAAATTATTAAGTAATATCATTAATATATCCAAGTAAAATCATCCTGAATATTACTAAAAAATCAGTGCATTGACAGAAAATTACCAGGAATTCAAACTGAATTCAGAAGAAGCCCTGGAAAGAGGGATGCTACAGGTACTATAAGAAGCATCTTGGCTGAATGCAAAGAATAGCAGAAAGATGTTTACTTGGATTTTACTGACTACACAAAAGCATTCAATTTTGTGGATCATAGTAAATGATAGGTAACACTGGGAAGAATGAGCATTTTAGAACACTTAATTGTGCTCATGTAGTACCTGCTCATAGGTAAAGAGGTTTGAAGAGCAAGGCAATGTTGCAAGGTTTAAAATCAAGGTAAGAAAAAAAAACAAAGCATCTGGACTGCATCCTCTTACTACACCTATTCAATCTGTATGCTACACAAATAACCTAGAAATCGAGATTATCTGAAGCAGAATGTGGCCTCAGACTGAATGAAGTTTCATTAGTCACCTGTCCTATGAAGTATGATACTACCTTGATGTGGAAAAATACTTATTGAATAAAATCGAAGATTATAGTAATCAATATGGATTACACTTCAGCATGAAGAAAACAAAAATCTCCAAAACTGGGCCAATTAACAGTATCATGATAAAGGGAGAAAAGGGTAACTTTGTTAATTATTTCACTTTACTTGGACTCACAATTAGATGGAGGTACACCATATATATTAAAGGATGAAAATAAAGAAAAGAGTTTAGGTTGTAATAGAGCTTCTAGACCAGGGAGTCACAGACTGAGCTGATCATCAAAGTCATACATGGTTTCCAGCCCAAGTGCCCAAGTCAATGGAATAAAATAATCTAAAAGGACTATAGGAGGTAATAACTGGGAATCTTCTATATTAAACATATATTTAATATTCCCAGTGGGGGACTCTGATGTGAAACCAGGTTTGGGAACCAGGTTATTTACTTCCTGTATATTTGATGGTTAAGCATGAACAGCCTTGGAATCATGGGTACACATGAAGCAAATGTAGCCAGATAGAAAGTTTGAAGCCTTGTGATTCCAGGTACATGCTGCTTGAAAAGCAAGGCAAAGGCTCCAGTTTTTCTATTAGAAGCCAAAAGTCTACAATGAAACGATAAGCATCTCATAAAGGGAAAGGCAGTGCCTAATAAAATGATGATCAGTACACTATCGTTTAATAAAGGAAAGACAGAGGTATAGAAGGCCTCATGGGAATCAGTACTACAGGGAGGCAGTGGGCATGTTAGGAGAAGAGGCAAAGGGTGTAGAAAAGGCCCCAAAACTGTAAAACCACACAGTTATTTCTCTGTCCAATAGCACTGAAAAGAATGAAAGAACTGAGTGCTGGTGACAGCCACTGGGTCACCCTGTGGTTTGTGCACATGTCCTGTAGCTGAAAGCTTGCCCCTTCAGTTACCGTTTTGAATCAGAAGGCTAATTATAACGTAATTAGCATTTCAGACAGGTAAGGACCCATAATGCAGTTGCTGATGTCAAAAACAGAGGACTTATATGAGCAATATACCCTGACTGGATGTGCACCAACTAACGAGTTTTGCATAAGGATGCCCAAAAGAAGCAGAATAATGCCACAGCAGAAAGAGCCCTAGCTGTGGGACTAGGATAAGTGAGAATTTGCATCCCACACTGAACAGCAAGACTTGAGAGAAATTGAAGCAAGACCCTGTTGGGAGTGAGACTCTGGTGATGGTGGTGGAGAGACTGTGGCATTGCTGTGGAGAAGCTGTGGCAAGATATTGCCAGAGGATCCCTGAGAGAGGCCACAGGTAAAGGTTTTGCTGTTCTTGCTGGATAATTAAGGAGAAGCTGACTTAAGACTGAGAAAAACTGAATAAATTATGTATACTGAATTGAAACAGATGAGGAAGAGAACAGTTTAAAAGTGATATATGATAGGGTATTATGGTTATCACAAGAGTCCAGAATTAAGGTTGCATAGTGGAGTGTACTCAGGGCGGTGGGGGGTGGGTTGCGGGGGGGATTGTATAGCAATGAAAGAATTTTTCTTTTACTTTTCTAAGAGAGGAGCGACCCGGGGGGAGGGGTGGTCAGGGAGAAAAGTGCAACAATGAATGAATGGAAATCCAAAATCTCTGTAAATGTTCATTAAAATTCATAAAATAAAATAAAAAAAAAAACTGTTCTGAAGCAAACCTTGCTGGATGATAGATGATTTGGATTTGACTGCTGAACTGAAACCAGGACTTTCACTAATTAAGGAATTGTGTTTTGCTGTTAATCTGGCTTGGAAATTCTGGACAAACCCTAGACTTGTGAGATATTCTTTGCCTCCCTCATCCCCCAACCTATTTCCCTGATAAATCCCACTCTTGGTACCACAACTGTAAGTAAAGTCTGTGAGTCAACAATGAATAAATCCACCTCTTGTGATGCACCAGGAGACAGGGCTACAAGCTCTTTATCTGCTTTCTGTTCTAGAGCAGTGAGGGACTACACTATTCTCACTCTATCTGGCCCTTTCAGAAAGATGCTCATAGCCCTATCCCTTTATTGCCCATTTTCTGCTCCTTTCATAAATAGAGAACTAATTGTTTGTTTTTCATATGATACCAGGGAATATTTTTGGTTTAGGATTTAAATAGT